ACCATAGGAAGGGCCTCTCTGAAGTCATCTCAGGAGTTATATTGACTTATGACTGTTATTAATAAGAACTAACATTCATCAGGGCCCTGGGGCCCGTTCCATGCTCATATACCTCATCGAGTCCCTGCTACTATTCTACTGAGGAGTCCTGCCCACCCCATTGTACAGGTGCAGAGAGGGACAGCCATAGCCAAGACTGTGCCACGCTGGCCAGCCCCACATCCCAGGCTCACTCTACTGTGCTGAAGGAGTGTGTTGGAGGTAACAGCAGTTTCTGGGCCGGGCCCCGTAATGACAGGTTCACTGCCTGGTAATTACTGCCGCGTCCACCTGCTTTACAAGCTGGCCAGGGACGCCCTGGCAAGGGGCAGGAAGTCCCGAGGCCGCAGGGGCTGAGTATGGGTGTGTGTCTAGGGTAGGAGTCAAGGCCCTGCCAGGCCCTCACCTGCAGCGTCTTGTCGAACCAGCGGTTGCCGCTGTTGAGTTTGCTGCCGCCTCCGTGCAGCATCTGGCCGGCCACTTGGCTGCGGTACACGTCTTCCGAGACCCGAGGCATGGGTGCGTCCAGGCACACGGTGAAGATGCTTTTCTGGATGGAGCGCACTGACTCCCGGTTCACCTTGTCTGCGGGTGGCACGAGTGAGGGTGTCAGGCCTCTAGAACACTCCACAAGTGCTGTGACGGGCTTCAGAGCTTTACACTCAACAGGGCCCTGCAGCCCCGAGAGGCAGGGCCCAATGCCTGGCCCATTTTAGAAATCAGGGAACAGAAGCCCAAGGTCTCACGGAGAGCCAGCATGGCAGTCAGGGGTCCCACACAGGGGTCTGACGTGGGGACAAGACCCCTGGCTAACATGGGGTTTGGAAAGACTGTGGCAGAAAAGGTGGGCTGTTACTTAACAGAGGGAAATGAACCCAGCTGAGTTCGTTTCGTCATCTGTGAAACGGGGCCAACAACACCTGCTGAGTTGAAAGGATTCAGTGAGGAACGTGGCCGCGCAGGGCCTGGCGTGGGCCCCCCTGCCCCCAGAGGCACCTCTGATGAGGCGCTGTACGCCCTGGCCCAGGAGTCACGGAGACTGGGGGTGAGAGGATGGGTTGTGAGCAGAGGCGCGATGCCCCCACCGCCCACACCTTTGATGAGGGTGTTGTACGCCTTGGCCCACGAGTTGCGATGGTTGGAGGTGAGGATGCCCACGGGCTCTTTATTGGTTTGCAGTGAGGAGTTCCAGATCTTTTCCAGCTGCACGAAGATCTGGTCCGAGGTGAGGGGCGTCCCATCGCTATGGTACACGTCCAACTCAAAAAACTGTCCAGGGCAGGCAGGTGGAGAGAAGCGGGCTGGTGGGGATCTCAGACTGACAGCAGTCACCTCCCNAAAAAATCAATCCTGTAGGTGAGTGATCGCCCCACACTTACCTCCCATGCGTCCAGACCTTTAAAGCACCTGCTTGTCCCATATTCCACACTTCAATGTGTGAGGTCACGGGTCACACCCTCAGGAGTCATTACTAAACTTCACTTGTTTCTTTGCCGTCTTTCCCCACCAGTGCCACCAGGGACCTCTAAGCATTTCATCTAACACTGACGGGTTGTTTCGGTGCTAAATGTGTCTTCCCCAACAGCACACTTGTAACAGCCCCAATGCAAGGGGATGCCCTCATTTCTGGAGAATTTTGGGGGGAAAATCCGGCAGTATCGTTCTTAGAACTTGAGTTTTGGGAGTCCTGAGTGTCTGTCTGTGCAGTGACCTTGGCTGGCTCACTCTCACCTCCCCTGCGGCCCCACCCTAGCGCTGCTCACATAGCGCTCACTCAACTGCTTTGCATCCCTCCCGCCTTCCTGGGGCTCCGGTACCCCAACATCTTCACCTCCATTATACAGATGAGGACACCCAGTCAGTGTACTGTCACGGTGGAGTTCTTTCCCAGGCCTGAAAGGGCATTCGTGTAACCCCGTGCCAGTACCTCGCCCTGCTAACCATGCTGGGGGCTAAGGAGTGACCAGGCCCAGGGCAACGCCCTCTACTCCCAAGGTCTGGGTTCTACCTCTTGCTCCCTGGGACTTAAGGCGAGTGGCACACTCTCTCCCAGTGTCATCGAGAAGGAGGATGGCTGTGGGGATTCGGTGAGGCCCAGCAGGCCCCAGTGCCTGACACACGTTGGTTCCACCTGGTCAGCGCCCTAGTCCCGCCAGCATCTCCCTGCACCTCCCGGGCTGGGCCCTCCGGCTTCCCTCCTCACAGGCTCACGGGCCTGAGTCTCGGGGCAGTTTCCACCCACGGCCTTCGTCTTTCCTCACCCCTGCCCTGGGTCGTCGGGTGGATGTGGCGTGGGTCTAGGAGCTTGGCTAGAGGGACCCCCCATACCCAGGCCTGAAGGAGACCAAGCGTGGCCTCTGAGGGTCTCTGCCATTTAGTGGCCTAGTGACCTTAACCTCGCTGAGCCTGTTCCTCACCTGAAAAATGGAGAAGACCACAGGACCCACCCTCACGTGCTTATCACAGGTCAGCCAGCCCACGAAGCAGCTCACAGGCTGGATGAACTCTCCCACCCGCACCCCCACGTCATTTGCTCTGGGTTCTCACATGTGACATAGGGTCAGAGCGTCACTTGGAAGGACAGACTCCTCCCTCCACAGTTAACTCTGGCAGGACACGCTGCTTCTGCCAGGTTCATGAGTTTGGCAGGCAGGTTTAGGGTTCTGATCAGGTGGCCATGACAGGGCACCACTTCTGTTGGGCTCAGTGGGAAGCAGTGGGGTGAGGCCTTGGGCCCTGGGTGTCAGCCACACACAGCCCACCAGCCCCAGGTCTACAGGGCCCCACAGCCCCTGGGAGAGTCGTCCCCACCCACAGCCCATGGGACTGGAGAGGCCCAGGTCACAGGTGGGTGGGAGCTGTCTGTGAGAATGTGGTCCTGGGTCTGCTGCCATCCTGGCCCAGAGCTCTGAGATTGGTGCTGGCCTTGGCTCCTTGATCTAAGCCTGAGGGTCCCTCTTCTTGGCTTCCCCGGAAGCCCTCAGGCCCATCGGCTGCTTGGACACCAGCTCCCAGACGCAGGGAAAGCTGGAAGAAGGCCAGGCATCCGCCCCCGTTTGCCTGTCTCCTCAGCTGGAATGCCTGTTCACCAGCAAATTTCCCGTTTATTAATTACCTCACATGTTACTATTATACAACCAGGAACGTGGATCAGGAATCAAGCTGAGTGGAAGCGAGTGAGCCGGGGCTCTTGAGACACATTCTCCAAGAGCGTGGCAGCCCAGTGGGAGATGGTAGAGGGTGGGGTGAGGTGGGGCCCCAGGCTTCCCTTCCCAGTGCACCCTGCACCCTGGCCTCTTAGCCTCAGGGAGGCCTGGAGCAATCCGTTCCAGGTAATCCTGTCTTCAGGGCCTTGCGAGTTTGGGGATCCGGGTACAGACCTGGCTCGGCTATGCAGATGGCAGGGACTGGCCAGAGCTGGGCTATGGAGAAAAGGACTTCCCCACCCCCCACTCGGATGGGGGAATGGGCTCGGCTGGTTCCTTTCCCCGGAGGAAGGTCTGGGCCTCTGAATATAGCCCAGGACACAGCCCCAGCAGGTGCTGGGGCTGACCCATGGAAGGCACTTGGCTCTAGCTGGCAGGCCCCACTGTGGGGTGCCCTCCCCAGCTTGGTCAGATCTGCGGGGCCCAGGGGGAGAGGGAGCAAAGAGCGGAGCCCTGGTGAATGGCCCACCTGAAGGTGGCTTGGCTGTGGCACCGGCAGGCCCGAGCATGGGAGGCTCAGAGCTTGGCCCGGGGGTGGCTCTGCAGCAGAGCGCGCATGTCCAGGAGCGCCTTCTCCAGGTAGTGCCCCAGGCGGGCAGCGTTGGTCTCAGCACAGCTGTTGTAGGCCGACACAGAGAAGTTGATGTGGGCCTCCATTGGGTTATAGCACACGCCGTAACCATCCGGGACCACGGGCCCAAAGGACATGACGCAGTCTGTCTTGGCAGGGACCTGGGGCGGGGGGAAGGGGTGTGTGTGTGACACGGGACTAAGGCTCTCATCCCCACCCCACCGGGTCCCCTTCACCCCCATGGTGGCACCAGCCTGCCTTCCCACATCTCTGCTCCCGCTGTGCTCTGCCCGAGATGCTCTTTCCTCTTCTCCATCACACAGGCGACTCCCTCTGATCTCTCGGGGTGCAGTCCTAATGTTACCCCTCAATGGAGCCTTCCTTGACATTCCTGGGGGCCTTTAACGGCTCCCTCCTCGGGATCGCCTGGGGTGCTCTCACTGCCTCAGGCCCTGTGCTTCCAGCCTCTGCTGTGAGCCCCTGGGGGCGAGGATGGAGGTCTGCCCTGCGGCGTCCCAGTGCCTAGCACAGGCTGGCATGGATAAGATGTGCCTTCATGTTTGCCCAGTGAATAACTGAAGCCGATTCTCCCCTGGGGGAGCATCAGCCTGCCAAAGCTGCAGTGAAGCCCCCAGACCCCAGCTCCTCTGCCAGAGCTCAGCTGCTTTGGTGTGGCCTGTGGTGGCCTGCATGGGCCACAACACCACCCACCGAGGTCTGACCATGTTCTAGACCTTGGCTCTAGTCAGTGCAGCCTTTGTTCAGCTCCAGTGGGTTCTGCATCGAGGGAAGCGGCCGAGGCCTGGAGGGCAGGGACCCCCAGATGGCTCTGGGGCAGTGGCCCACCTGGCTCGTGGAGAGGTTGAAGTGCATGGCAATGGCATAGGAGGTGTCCATGAAGATGTCAGGCATGCTCACCAGGTCCTCAATGGCCTGCAACTTCAGGCCCAGCAGGTGCCGGTCAAAGGCCTCCCCGCGGATGGCCTGCAGAAGAGGGCGCTGTTAGGGGCTGCCCACTGGGTGCTGCTGCCCTCCTCAGAAGCCTTCCATTCACTGGCCCCTGGGACCCCAGAGACCAGAGCATGCAGGCAGGAGAGTCCTCACTTCACAGATGGGGCAGCTGAAGCCCAGGGACCTGCCCAGGGAGGCAGGACAGTGTAGGATTTAAGAGCACAAGCCTGGAGCTAGTGGTCTGGCCCTGTCCTGGCTGTGGGACCTTGGCAGGTCACTTACATCTTGGAACCTTGGTGTCTTCATCTGTAAAATGGGGACAGTCACTGAACTCCCCTTGCAGGGTGGCAGTGAGATCTAAGTGGACGTCTGTGTAACATGGGCAGAGCCCGGCACACAGGTCTCACAGAGCCAGGATAGGAACCCAGACCTCCCTTCGCCGACTGGAGCCTGAGATGTCAGATGGCGTGACCCCTGAGGTCAGCCCACCTGTGTACACCCTCAGCATTCTGGGCGCCAGGGCACTGGGGAGAGCATGACACACGATCCAAAGGCTCCCCTGGGACCTGGGACCAGGGCAGTCACTGGGCCCAGCCTCAGTTTCTCCGACTTTAAAATGGGGATGTTCAGCTTTGCTCCGGGTACCCCAAGGCTCAGGGGAAGGGTGGTTGAACAGCCATTTGCTGCAGGGATGGACAGGCAGATGGAGAGACAGATGGCGATGCCAAGGGTCAGGCAAGTAGGGACAGGAAGGGCTGACTCACCTGGTCGGTGTAGGTGCGGTGGGCTTGCACGGCGTTTCGCAACAGCTCCACCTTCTGGTGTACCTAGTGAGGCAAGGGTGAGAGGGAGCTGACGTGGTGTCTCTTCCCTGTTCCTGTCACCCATCTCGGTAGCCCACTCCCCACCCAGCACTACATTCTGAGCTCCTTGAGAGAAGGACGCGGAACGACCATCACTGTAGGGCAGATGCTCACTGCTGATGAGTGAATGAATAGTTGTCTTTTTCTCTTTGGCTGCCAGGAAGCTCAGAGCTAAATGCATGGCTCCATCTTCTGTTATATTTCCAGTGCCCACCATAGGGCTGGAATACAGTAGGTGCTCAATCAATGTGTTTCGACAGAGTGAACAGAAACGGAAAGAGCTCAAGCCCAGCTCACCCACCCTCGCCATGAACCTCTTACCGACACATTGGAGTCATCCATGGCTTTGACAAAGGTCAGCGAGTCCACGGAGGCCGAGCGGATAGTGTCGGTTCGGCCCAGGTGAAACATGCGCAGGGAGGCGCTTTCGTATGTGGCACATGCCTGCCCGTAGATCCTGGGTGGGAAATGAGGCTGAGCACACCTCTGGCAGGTCGTCCCCACCTCTGCCCCCAGGTCTTATCCATCCTTCACAGGCAGGCAGGGTGGGGCGCACCTGTAGTAGGCCAGCTGTAGTGCCATCTGGATGAAGGCGTCGGGACTCAGCTTCTCTGACTTGGGGAAGTCCTTCCCAAAGTGGTGGAATACCATCATAGTGATGTCCAGGTCCTGGATCATGCTGGGGGTGGGAGGAGGCGAGTGAAGAGCCGGCGGCACCTGGCAGCCCCTGCCAACCCCAGGGAGGGCGGTCTCAGAACCAGCCGGGTCAGTGACAGACCTGGAACGGGAGCCTGTGAGGCTCACGGGGCCTGGCCCCCCATCTAGCACCCCGCGCTCACATGCTGAGATTCTGCTTGGCCTTCTCGATGTCGTTCTTGACCTCGGGGGTGATGTTGAACCGCAGCTTCTTGGGCATGGGCAGGGGCACCATGGGAGACCGCACGAGCTCGGCCTTCTTCCTGCATGGACACGGGGGTCTCAGACTCATGCTGGTAGTGGGGGAGCCTAGGTCCCTCCCTGGGATTGGGGTGTGGAGGATGGATCCCGGAAGCTAGAGGGGGCCAGTCCAGGGAGACGCTTGGGTTTGCTCTTCTGAAATTGCCTTCAGTCCAGTTTCAAGTGGCCAAACAGGGGAGGCCTGGAGAGGGGATGGGACTTGTCCAAGGTCACACAGCTGGGAAGTGGCAGAGCCAGAAGTCAAACCAAGGTCTGTCTGGCTCTAAAACCCACGCCCTCTCCTGGCATCCTTTGAAGAAACAGATTCCCAGGAACAAGGGAGAATGCCAATACCCCACAAGCTCGTTGGTTGCCTGTGTCACCTGTCACCAGGAACTGGGGAAATGGGTGGAGGGTGGGGGAACCACACTCACGTGTACTCAATGACATGGTCCACAAGGCTGACGATGGGGGGCCCCTCTGCTGCTGCATGCTCATAAATGAGCCCACAGGAGCCATCTTC